AATGCTTCAGCCTTCATACGCGAAACCCCTAAACCCTAAACCCTAAACCCTAAACCCGAAACCGGAAACCCGAAACCCTAAACCCTGAGTTCATGAGCATCCATAACCTTCAACTCCATGGTCCAAAATGGCTTCAGGGCTTCTCCACTCGGCTCTACAACCTCGGGTGTCGGGTTTAGGGCTGGCTGCTTAGGGGTATGGGTTTTTATGGTTTAGGGTTTAGGGTTTGGGGTTTAGGGTTGAGGGGGTGGGGTTTTAGGGTTTGGGGTTTAGGGTTTTGGGGGGGTTCACGGGGGAAGCCCCCCTGAACCAGCGGCAAGGCAGTGCGAGCGGCTCGAGGGCGTAGATCACAAAGGCATCGAACCCCGAACTTCGCCGCGTCATCGCCTCGGGGAGAGGAGGGCTTGAAAAGAAGGGCGTAGGGTTTAGGGTTTAGGGTTTAGGGTTTAGGGTTTAGGGTTTAGGGTTTAGGGTTTAGGGTTTAGGGTTTAGGGTTTTAGGGTTTTAGGGTTTTAGGGTTTTAGGGTTTTAGGGTTTTAGGGTTTTAGGGTTTTAGGGTTTTAGGGTTTTAGGGTTTTAGGGTGTGAATAGAATCGTCGTTTCGGAGACTACTTCAGCGACGTACTCAAGATGCAAGATGCAAGGAAAGGGGGACTTTGGTTTAGACCCGAAGCCCTAAACCCTTGTAGGGCTTAGGCCAGGTTTAGGCTTCAACCCTCAAGGTGAACGTGTTCAGGTTTAGGGATGTGGGTTTGTAGGGTTTAGGGTTTAGGGTTTGGGGTTTAGGGTTTAGGGTTTACGGTTTAGGGTTTAGGGTTTAGGGTTTGGGGTTTAGGGTTTAGGGTTTCGGGTTTAGGGTTTAGGGTTTAGGGTTTAGGGTTGAGGGCATACAGTAACAGGACAATCCCTTTGTTGGAAACCCTACCAAAAAAAGCCCTTGCAAAAACCTTCGACGACTTGCCCGACCTTGGCCGTCGCATCCGGGGCGGCTGCTTGCCTCCCAGCACAGGGCATACTTGGAGGTTCAGGGTTCAGGGTTCAGGGTTTAGGGTTTAGGGTTTAGGGTTTAGGGTTTAGGGTTTAGGGTTAACCACACCACCCTACAAACCCTTACAGTATCCGGTTATCCAAATGGGCGCACGCTGGGGTCTGAAGGTTGCACGTGGTGCAGTTTGGGGTAGTGGCATACGTAGGGTTGTGAGGCTTCGGGTGAAGGAAATGCCAAACAGGGGATAACGCATCTCGCCAACAAAAAGAAAAGACTCGCCACCTTCTGCCCCGACACCCTAACCCCTAACCTAACCCTAAACCCTAAACCCTAAACCCCACACCCTCAGCCCCAAACCCCTGAATGATCAGCCAGAGCCTGCCTGAAGCCCTGCCCGAGCCGATCCCTGGAACTCTGGAACAAACTGATGGGTTCTCGGGGTTTAGGGTTCAGGGTTCAGGGTTTAGGGTTTAGGGTTTGTCTAAGGGTTAGTTACATGAAGGAACTTCAATTAGGTTGCCAGAAGAACTAGGGTTGGTACAGAAAGTCAGTGGCCGTATTGTGGTAACTTAACTGTAAGTTCCAAAACCCTAAACCTTAAAACCCTTAAACCCTTCTTGCAACCTAAGTTCCAACCCTAAACCCTAAACCCTAAACCCTAAACCCTAAACCCCAAACCCCAAACCCTAAACCGATTCCGCTTACAGAAACTCCCCGGCGCCACCCTGCGGCTCGCGGCCCTTCGCCGGCCTGCGCGGGCACGGAAGCTTCTTGGGGTTTGCGGGGTCTTGGGGTGGGTTTAGGGTTTAGGGTTTCGGGTTTAGGGTTCAGGGTCTAGGATTTAGGGGTTGGAGGCTAAGAGCTTAGGAGCTCAAGAGTTTAGGATTTCAGGTGTTTTCCCCCTCTCTTTGTTGAAGGGGGTTTTGGGGTTGGAGTCTAGGATTTCGGGTTAAAGTGTTAGGGTTAGGGTCTAGGTCAAAATTTAAGGTTTCGGGTTCTCAAGCCCGACATGTTAGGGTTCCTGGATTAAGGGTTTAGGGTTCAGGGCCTAGGGTTTGAGGTTTACGCTCCATTAAACGAAAAGAACTTCTGCATGTTATGGGGTCCAAAGGGTGGGTGGGTAGAGGTTCGACACTAGGGTAGCGAGCTTCACCAGTGAATGCTTGAGATGCTGAACCCTTAACCCTGACCCTCCAAACCCTAAACACTAAACTAAACCTCTAAACTCTGACCCTACACCCTAAACCCCAAACCCCTAAACCCTCAAGCCCTAAACCCCAAACCCTAAACCCTAAACCCCAAACCCCTAAACCCTCAAGCCCTAAACCCCAAACCCTAAACCCTAAACCCTAAGCTGCCTTCTTGGAAGGGCGGGTCGCAGGCTGCGGCGCCGATGGGCTTGCGATGGTATGCCTTGCTCGTTGGGGGGTTTAGGGTTTAGGGTTTAGGGTTTAGGGTTTAGGGTTTAGGGTTTAGGGTTTAGGGTTTAGGGTTTAGGGTTGGAGGGTTATGAGGGAACCTGAGCCCCAAAAAGGGCGTAGTGCGAACCCACGCAGTCCTTCTTTGCAGACCCTCTCTTAGAAGTACTGCCTTTCTTTGGGTCGTTGTATAAACACAATTACAATTCAGGTAGCTTAGATCACGACTGGTTAACGCCACTTATGAGTGCTGATGGGTGCAAGGAGGGGGGCCTAAGTAGGGCTATAAGTTTGTTAATAACCTTAGCTAAAGTTACCATCTACGTTACCTTACAACTTTACTAGCCAACGCTGAACATTGGAGTTCGCCTTCGGGTGTCAGAGCTTTCGGAGCCTGAAACCCAGCTTCAGTCTGAACCGCCAAGCCGTAAACCCGAAATACGCATCTTTGCCGTTCTGTGTCAACATCTGCCCCTTAGGCGCGCTAGAAGAGTCACCACCCCCACAGTCCAGCCTAATATTCCCAAGCCGCAAAGAGGTTCATGGGTAGCAAGCCGCAAAGAGGTTCATGGGTAGGTATATAAGCAACCATATAAGTGCCTTCCGGTTTAGGTTTGGGGGCGACAAACGCTTGACGAGCCTGCCCTAAACCCGGAAACCGAAACGCCCCTCTTGATCCGGTTGCAAGCAGACACCAGCACCAAAGAAGACCCTAAGCCCTGAAACCCAAACCCCATATTACACCCATACAAACCCTACACAAACCCTAAACCCTAAACCCTAAACCCTAAACCCTAAACCCTAAACCCTAAACCCTAAACCCTAAACCCTAAACCCTAAACCCTAAACCCTAAACCCTAAACCCTAAACCCTAAACCCTAAACCCTGCCCTAAGCCTAATCTCCCCCCTCCCAAGGCCCGGTCGGCAAAGGCAGCGGCTCCGATTCGGCCTCGGAGATCGTCCTGGAACGGATGCGAGGTCCCCGAATTTGGGGTTGCTTGGGGTTTAGGGTTTAGGGTTTAGGGTTTAGGGTTTAGGGTTTAGGGTTTAGGGTTTAGGGTTTAGGGTTTAGGGTTTAGGGTTTAGGGTTTAGGGTTTAGGGTTTAGGGTTTAGGGTTTAGGGTTTAGGGTCCGATTGGGCGACGAATAAGATTGAGAATCAGTATTGCCGGGTCATTATTGCTGTTCTCAATACTGGGGCAACCTCCTGATGGGCCGAGGGTTTGGGGGTCAGAGTTGCTCTCCTGAATCACTGAAGGCAGGGTTTAGGGTTTAGGCTTTCGGCTTCAGGTTTTACGGTTTAGGCTTTAGGCTTTAGGTTTTAGGGTTTAGGGATTTTAAGGGTTTAGGGTTTATGCCCAACTTGAAGCTGCCTAACTTGAGGCCGCCCAGCTTCAGCAGTCTGCCCACGCCCCAGGAAGCCAGGGTTCTGGGTTTAGTCAGAACCTGTCTGCCTACGGCTAGAGTAGCGCATGCCTTCAGGTTTCGGGCAGGTCGTTTACCCATGGGGTCGGCTGATCGGCATTCGATTGGGCAGTGAGCAAATCTACAATGAGCGTTGCTCTAACATCGGGACCCTGTTGTAGATCTTTGAGAAAGAAATCCCCAGGAACGGGGGAGGCTAATTCAAGACTACCGCCACGTAACAGGAACCTCAGATATGCCAGGACAGTCCCGGGTTTTTAATCCAGAAGCGCCCATTGGCATCCCATGAAATAAGCCCTAACTCTTCACAGGACCGTCCTTGGATCTGGAGACGAGGAGCCTGGCAGGAGGAGTTTGAGGGAGTAAGAATTGAGAGCTTTGGGCTTCGGATTTCACGTCGTCCTACGCACCCATAAACTGTGCTGAAACCCTTCAACAAAGGCTGGCAACAATGGGCCCAAACCCCTGAGCCCGTACCCTGAAACGACACACCTGGAATCGCTCACAACCTTAAGCTCGAACACCGTCATGTTTGAAGGTTGAAGCCCTTAGTTTGGTATGCCTCAAGCCTGTGCATAGAAACCTAAAGAAACGGACGCAGGATTCTGAGCAATCCTACTTCCAACCAATAAAGAAGCAAATGACAAGCTCGCAAACTACAGTCTTTGGGTCCCTGGTAGAGTAGCGACCCTAACATTCAGCGCATGGGAAGATCTGCCGCCGTGCGAAAAGACGCCCGCAACCCCAAGGCCTAAAAGAACCCATAAAACCCATAAGAACCCCCAAACCCCTAAACCCCTAGACCTGAAACCCCAAACCCTAAACCCCAAACCCTAAAGCCCAAACCCCAAACCCCGAACCCCGGACTCAGCAAGCACTCAAATTCCGGGCCTGCGGGCATCGTCAAGGCAGGTGCAGGCTCGGAGGGCGCAACTGGGACTGGCACGCGAGCGCAGGCTTAAACCCCTAAACCTTAAACCCTAAACCTTAAACCCTGAGCTTAAGATTCAGGGAGTGCGTCTTCGTGAGCGGCACTGCATTGGTGCTGACTTCGTCTTTGAACCCGGAAGTGACAGTGACGCATGCAACTGGCTGGTTCTTAGTAGCCTAGGTTTTCAGCGGGCTCTGCATGTGACTGAAAGTCGCGCCTCAAATTCGTCCTGCCGCGCTATGCGCTGGCTCTTGTAACATGCAAAATGTCACCCCGTGCCCAGAAGCGTAGCCCAAGAACCTGCCTCTCAAAGCAGGTCCCTGTACAGTGAGCCTCGACAATAGCACTCAGGGTTCCAAAAATGGCCTCCCAGTCCTGGCGCCCGATTATGTCTGGCGGCCAAGTGTAAAGACCATATTCAGCAGCAACCACTCTTGTATTCCATACTAAGGTGGCTCCTGAAAATTGCCTAATTTTCTCAAAGTCCCAATCCCGACATGCCCTGGCAAAATGACAAACGTACGGCGGCAAAGGCAGTGACATGGGTGGGACAACGGAAGACCGGGCAGTAGGCTGGAGAGTAGCCCACCATGGACGTGGTCCAGCAACCGTACTCGGCGGGCGCCAGCCATCATCGACATCAGGATGCGGCGCCTCACATCCAAGGTCCGCCTCAGCATAGCAGACGCCACAAGACGGCTGTTGGCGTAAGTGCTGCCTTAGGCGTCTCGTGGACCAAAACTCAACGCAACAGCATTGGCACGCTGTACCCACGGCAGCCGAAGCAACCGCAGGCCTCGCATGCATGTGTCTCATGTGTGAACCGCCTGCTGCTGCATTCGCGAACATTTGGTGGCATTCAGGGCATGTCCACGAGCTGCTATGCTGTCTGCAGACTCCAGTTGGGATGCGGATGGCAACAATTCCATCCTGCAACTGACTTCTGGCTATGAAGATTCTCCTGCGAACTGCCCTGCAAGCTGTCTGCCGCGCACGAAGAATCCGCGCCCTGAAGCTTTGCACCGCAAACGTCAGCGCTGCTGCATGCTGCTTGGCTTGCTGCATCCACTGTCTACAAGGCCGAAACTCGCGCACGCATTCCACATTGGTCGCCGGCTGACCTAGCAGCGGGTAGCATACTCGGTACAAGGCCTGCCCAGCCTGGTGGAGCCAGAAGCTTTCCGCCTCGGAAACAAACCACAAGCCATAGCAGTCAGACCGAACCAACTGCATGAGGAGTCGTGCCCGATGCAGCCACAGGTTCTCTTCCGGGTTCAGAACGCACAGGGCCGAGCACACGTCCTGGTCCGTCAAACCCACGACACTGGTGCCCAACAATGGTTTCATGCAACCGCGCATAATGCGCATGTAAGCCGCATGCAGCATTTCACGCTCGTTGCTGGTAGCTAGCGTCCAAACTCCGGCCCCGTGCATGAGGCTGTTGAGTACGAGCGAATCAACAACTTGCATGCGTTCGGAAATGCTTAACTCAGGGTTGGTGAGGACCCGCCTGCGCACGGGAAGGAATTTAGCCCACGCGGTCTCACCGCGACTTCGCAAATCTGGAGCATCTGTGGAAGACGCACACACTGTCGTGCCCAAATGAAGGTAGCTACTGGCCAACACCAACCGGATCGTGCGTCCTGCAACCTCTACCTCGTGTACACCTGCTTCTCTCACCCAAGCCTGACGCCGAGCCTCTTGCGACCCTTTTCCGCGCATTGCAAGGACAGCCTCAGTCTTTCTTGGGGAGTGGTTGACTGCTATTCCGGCAAGCCCAAGTGCCACATGCGCCGCGCGAGTGGCAGCTTCAAGCCGACGCATTAGCTCTGTTGGCGCGTCGGCGTCAATGAGAATTGCAAGGTCGTCAACCCATGTCGGGATGTAACATGGGCACCAAGACTGCGAAGGCATATCCCCTCCGTTCGTGAGAGGTGACTGCAGCATGCCGGCCTCCCGCAAGCTTTGTTCAAGGGAGCGCAGACTTATGTCGAAAACGACCTGAAACAGGATGTCGGCCAGCGGTGATCCAGGTCCCGTTCCCGTAAAGGACTGCACAACCTGCTGGGCCTGTGGGTTCATGCAGTACCATGCACCAGTCAGCTGTGCCTGAAAAATATAGTTCAAACTGGACGAAACGCCCAGTTCAACCAATCGCCCCGGCTGGGATAGCAACTGTTTAGCTCTATCACATATCTGTGAGTCCACATGGATGCCATCCAACAGCCGCTGGACAGCCTGCTCAAGGCCCCCTTCTTGCTGCAGACGACCCCACAGATACTCTCGCAACGTGGAGTAGAAGGCCTGTTGCCCGTCAACGAAGAGCACAGCAGCCGAACGTCCGGCTGCTTTGGCTCGGCTAAAGTGAAGCCGGACCATTAAACTGGACAGCTCCATCGGGCGCGCCTTGATGCCACCTCCAGTACCTTCCCGCGCTTGCGCGCGAAAAGCCTTCTCCAGAGGTTCACGAAGCACTCTGGCCACCGCTTTGCCAGCCGGTTCTTGTAAAAGGATGTTTCGCCACCCGGTGACCTCTCCCAAGCACTTGTGGGGTTTGGGAATGGCGCGCGCGATGCCGCCTTTCCATAAAAGTGGCCCGCGCCCGCGAGCACACGTCTTGGCAAGCAACGGCCAGTGTGTCCTGGCTGCCTCAGCTGGAGCTGCGCGGTATAGCTCGGCTACAAGGCCTGTTAGGCCTGGCGCCTTGCCAGATTTAAGCTGCGAAAAGCTTTCGGTCAACGCATGCAAAGTCGGTATCTCTTCGATGGGCACAACTTGGGGCCTCGGGGCTTCCCGTGACCTGCATTGCTCGAGCGAGCCAATTTCCCCACGTTCAAACTGCGCAAAATGCTGTTGCAGGCGGTCCAAGACTTCTTCCGGTCAGGAGAGAATCTCTTGTGAGCAAAACGGGATTGGGCTGCAGGGCCTTGTACCGTCTACCGGACCGAAGAATGGCGCGCATGTGCGATGCCAGCGCCTCAGGACCCTCACTTTTGGCATCTTTCATGGCCTTCCTAGCCAATCGAGCTTCATCTTTCCTTGTGACTTTTCGCAACTTTTGACCCAGTCTTCTAACACTAACGCAGCATCTGGCCTGCAGAGCGTACAATCCGGCAAGAGGCCTACACACATTGGCACGATAGCGCGGCCGCCGCCATGCTTTGAACACAGCATGTAGCCAGATCCTTTGTGTCATGGCCCTGGCTCGTCTAGCGATGTGTCTATATTGATGGCGGGCCTTAACCAACAGCCAGGCGTCAGGTGACATGCCAGGCTTGCGTGGCCCGGGCAGCTTTGCTGGCAGCATATTCGACGCCTGTGTAAGATGCGCATTTATGACACTTAAATGAACATCAACATCACATTCCCAAGGCACAGCAGGGAGGCTTTGAAAGATTTGTTTTGCGCATTGGTGCCCTTCGTCCGATGCCAAGAAAGCTCTATCGATCACGCGGCGCCTCTTTACGACTTCAAGCTCAAGACAAACTTTGAGGTCGGCATGCAGCGGGTGATGATCAAACCCTGAATGCAAATCAAGGAAATGCGGGACATCATGATGCACAGAGAGGAAAGGCCGCCATGACTGTGGCACTGCCACAAAGTCCAAGCAAGCAGGCTTGCCTGCTGGACTCGTCCACGTGACTATGGGTTGCCCCGCACTATTTAACACCCCAGTTGCGGCAAGCTCGAATCGTCGCAAGAAATGCGCAAAATGCTCAGCATTGAGGTTTCGGGGTTTCATGCTGCCTTCCACGCCAGCATCAAATCGAGCGTTGGCGTCAATTAAGAGCACCACCTGCCTGCCTCGCGGGATGGCATTTACTATGCCTGCTAACCACTGCCACCACTCATGAATTGTGTCTGGCTTTTCGGCTGAGGTGCGGGCATGTGCGCAGACAAACGCGAACCTGGCTCCTGCACAGCTGGCGGTCACAACAAGACAACGGGGCGAGCTATGCGTGACAGAGAACCCCCTTGCATCCCATGTGACTGGCCCGCTTTCTGCGTTGGCAATGGCGGAAGTGGAAAACCACAATTGGCACCCACCCTGTCCTGCAATAGGCATTGAAGCGAAAATTTTAAAGCCCTGAAAGTGCCTCATGACGTCACACGTCTCCCTTGTTTCCTGAAAGCCAGCCACAGGGCAGCGCTGCTTTGACAGGTGGCTAGCAAGGCATTGTCTTTGTTCGACACGTTGCATGGACAAGGAGTTATATGTGATGAGCCGCCACTCGAGCTGAATGACTTCCTTGGCGGCTGACGCTGTCTGCATTGCCAGGGCGGCAGGCGTTGCCAAAGCCTCCTTCATGACGTTGGAGCTTTCACCTATGACTTGCACGGGCGACTCATAGGGCATGTCAGCCACTTTGGCATCATTAGCGATCACCCACAACCAAGCGAACATGTGATGCCTGATGGCAAATGCAACTGGCTCTCCTGGTGCCTCAGTGGCTGCTCGTGGGAACTTGGACACGTGCTTGACAAGTGAGTCAGCCATCTCATTGCCACCAATGCCGGTGTGTGACCGCTCGTGTTGGAAGCATATAGGGATACCAACCTCAGCCGCAACAGCGCGAAGGGCATGCATGGCTCGTGGGACATTGGCTTCTCCTAGCTTACCTTGCAACCGCCATCTGCCCTCAGCTGTCCTGGCCGCGACTTTGCAGTCATAGTGGATGACAGCGCTGGATGGTTTCGCAGCCAAGATCATGGCTTGTGCTATGAACATGGCGACACATTCTGCCTCGAGAGCCTGGGGGTGGTCGAATCCAAGGAATTTGGAACCCACAAGATGTCAGCAAGATAGCCAGCCCAGTGCTTTTTGGCGGTTCCTTCCCAGAAAGCAAGGACTGCCCACGCAGGCGGGTGCTTGGCATCAGGCCAGGAGGTGCCATCAACGAACAAGTGGAGCGTTTGCTGGCATGGGCAAGGACGCCAGTCAACTTCGTGTTCGAGCCAGGGCGCAACACTTTCATGTAGTTGCATGCCATCTGGTAGCTGTAGTTGCCATTGATCGGGCGTGAAATCTTCAAGCAACTGGGCAATGGAATTTGGGCACAAGTCGCACTTGATTCGAGCTTCACAGGCTTCGTCAGGTATCGCTTGCTCAAGGGATATAACAGCTGCCATGTTTGAGGACTCTGCCCCATGGCTCACTGCTTGCTCCGTTGAGAGGTCTGTTGACTGGCTGAACTGCGGCGCGAAGAGTCCTGCCGACCTGCTGGTGGAATGGAGACCTGAGACCTCTGCTTCCCGTTTGGGCGCGAAGAGTCCTGCCGACCTGTTGGTCGGACTGAGATCTGAGACCTTTGCTTGGATTTGCGGCGTGAAGAGTCCTTCCAACCTGCCGGCCGGTTTGGGACCTGAGACCTCTGCTTGCACCTGGGGCATGAAGAGTCCTGCCGACCGGCTGGCCGGGTTGAGACCTGAGACCTCTGCTTGCACTTGGGGCACAAAGAGTCCTGCCGACCTGGTGGCCGGGTTGAGACCTGAGACCTCTGCTGGTTGCGGGGCGGCCAGATGGAGACTGAGACCTCTGCTGACACTTGCGACGCGGAGAGTCCTGCCAACCGGCTGGCTGGATTGAGACCTGAAACCTTTGCTGCAACCTGTGTCTGGGCTGAGACCTGAGACCTCTGCTTGCAACTGCGGCGTGGACCTGCTGCCTGATTGAGACCTGAGACTGCACCTTGAGCAAAGAGTCCTGCCGACCTGCTGCCCGGACTGGGACCTGAAACCTCCGCGTGCACCGGCGGCATGAAGGGCTCTGCTGAGATCTCTGCTTGGATTTGGGGCACAAAGAGTCCTGCCGACCTGCTGGCCGGATTGAGACCTGAGACCTCTGCTTGTACATGCGGCACCCAGAGTCCTGCCGACCCGCTGGCCGGATTGAGTCCTGAGACCTCTGCTTGCACCTGACACATGAGGAGTTCTGTTGAGACCTGGGCACAAAGAGTCCTGCCGACCCGCTGGCCGGATTGAGACCTGAGACCTCTGCTTGTAGCTGGACAGAGAGTCCTGCCGACCTGCTGGCCGGATTGAGACCTGAAACCTTTGCTTGCATCAGGGCAGAGAGTCCTGCCGACCTGCTGGCCGGATTGAGACCTGAAACCTTTGCTTGCACCTGGCTCACCAAGAGACTGGCTGGCCTCTGCTGGTTGCAGGGCGGATCGTCCTGCCGACCGGCTGGCCGGAAGACTGAGACCTCTGCTGATACTTGCGGCGTGGAGAGTCCTGCCAACCGGCTGGTTGGATTGAGACCTCAAACCTTTGCTGCAACCTGTGGCGCGGAGGGTTGACAAGCCGGTTGCTGCTTGCACCTGACGCGACCGGCTATCCGCAGTGAAAGCTGGCACCTGCAGTGTGGAGGGGCCTGCCGACCGGCTAGCCGGATGGTGACCTGAAACCTTGGCTGACGTCTGCGCAGTGACAAGAAGTCCCGTTGACACGCTGTCCGCACTGGGGTCGGTTGGAACCTGCGGCACGGTGAGTCCTGCTGACCGGCTGGCCAGATAGCCTGAGACCTTTGCTGCCTCTTGCGGTGCGGCGAGTGTTGCCATGCTGGCCGCGTTGAAACTTGACACCTCTAGCACCTGTGGCGTGGAGAGTCCTGCCGACCGGCTGGCCGGATAAAGCCCTGAGACCTCTGATTGCACCTTGGGCACACAGAGTCCTGCCGACCCGCTGGCCGGATTGAGACCTGAGACCTCTGCTTGCACTTGCGGCATGAAGAGTTCTGTTGAGACCTCTGCTTGGATTTGGGGCACAAAGAGTCCTGCCGACCTGCTGGCCGGATTGAGACCTGAGACCTCTGTTTGCACCTGGGGCACAAAGAGTCCTGCCGACCTGCTGGCCGGATTGAGACCTGAGACCTCTGCTTGCACCTTGGGCACGAAGAGTCCTGCCGACCCGCTGGCCGGATCGAGATCATGGGCTTGTACCTGCGGCACTCCCTCAGCAGTACCTGATGGCCGAGCTACCTCACGAAGGTTGTTCAACTCGTTCCTAAAGGAGGCAATTGCCTTTACGGCCCATGAGTCGTCGTCGAAATGTACCTTTTTCAAATTTCGGTACCCCCATCTACGCCGTCCATCAGCCCTGTTCAGGCAGCTTAAGCATTCGGAACGCACTGGTGCGTCAAGGGGTTGCAGCGATATAGGCTCATGCCCATCGAGGTTCGACAAGGTACCGTCCTCGACGGCGGGGAGGCCTGAACTACACAGCGGCTTGCCAGAAATCTTTGTACACATGACATGTGGGATGGGGGAATGACATCTTGGCGATAACAGCCCTGCTCCACCGAGGCTCGGTACGGCACCGTCCTCGAAGGTGGTAGGACCAGAAATCTTCTGTACACTCTCACGCTTTGTACACTGTACAGGAGAATCACTGTACCCAAGGCTTTCGGCTTCGCAGCTGTCACTCCATTCCCGCTTCGGTTCAATCTCAGCAAGAGTGTGACCACACGTTTCTTCCTGACATTGAACCCTTAGAGCATCGCCATCCATTTCATCATTCTCAAGTATCCTCGGATCCCGATGAAAGGAGTGGCTGGCAGCAAAAGCGTAAGCGATGTTGAGCTCGAAAGTCATCTGAACCGCAATGAAAGCTGCATGCCATCCGTCGACAAAGTCAGCCTCATTGCGCACGCTATGGCTGAGACATAGCCCATAGTCACGGCCCGTGGCGGCACAGGAGCCACTCCACTGTGAGTTGCTCCCCCCATGGCATTCCCATGGGCTCCGTCCTAGGCCTTCGTAAAAGGCGGCTCCGGAGGTTTGGCCTTGGCCGCCTCCGTGCCAGCATTCTCCCCTCCGCCTTCTCTTGCAACTCGTTTGGCCGGACGGCTTCTCGGAGTGACTGGTTCTCCATACGCCGCCGCCTGCTTGGCCGTTGCTTCCAAGGCCTGTTCCAAGAGCTGGTGGAGGGAGCGGTCTTCTTGCTTCAAGGCCTGCATCTGATGCCGCCTCTTCGCGTCGATCTCCGCTGCCTGTGACACATCTGCTTCGGCATCGCTCATGCCTTCTTCTGGCGAGTCCACATGCACGACGTCGCCAGGGTCCACTTTCTGCTGCAGGGCGCTCAAGCGCTTGACTTCCATACTGGCAGCCTGCAACGCTTGCATTAGGTTGCCCTCCTGGTTGTAAAGCTGCTCCAACGTGTTGTTGCGTTCCCCAAACTGCTTCTGGAGTGTCTGCAGCAAGTCCTGCAAATACTGCGACCGTCCAGCCAAATACTCGCCTCGTTGTCGCCTTAGCTCCACAAGGCCCTTTCGTGCACGCGCCTGCTCCGTCACTTTCTTGTGCAAAGAGGCCGACACCTTCTTGTTGTTCTCTTGCTGCGCTGACTCCATCATGTCTTTGACTGCAGGAGGAAGGGAATCCCATCCTTGCAGCGCTTGCATTAGTGCTTGTAGTTGCTTGTTGGCGCCATCGTCTGCTGTCGAAGAAGCTGTCGCAGGTGTAGTGGCCGCCGACGTGGCAGGAGCAGTCTCCTTGCCGTCCTGGTTCTTGGTCGCCATCTGGGGTACGGCGGGGGCCTTTGGCATTGTTCTTACAGTCAATGTCTCTGCACTGGCTGCTGACGCAAGTGGTTTGCGCTCCTGCTTCTCCGACTTCTCCTTTCCCTTGCCCTTGTTGGGCTGTTGGTCGTACCCACCACTGCCTTTGCCACGACGTCGCGGAGACACTCTCCTTGGAGATCGAGGGCGCCATTCGGTCCACTGAGCTCCAGTTGACCACGGCGCCTGCTTGGCTGGTGCTGCGGCCCAGGACTCCGTATGCATATACGGCCTGCCTGCTCCACAGCTCGGGCAGTAGTTGGCACTGGCTTTCGTCCATTGCTGGCATGTTGAACAAAACCAGCTCGACATAGCTGCTTGTATCGAGCCTGTTGCTTCGAGCAAGCTCTTCTGTACCTGCAGATGCTTCGCTTCTCGCTTGCTCAGCGAGTGATGCTTCAGCAGGGTTCTTTGCGCTGCCAACAACTGATGCGGTGTGACCTGGCTCCAGTCTGTCTTGGCCAAACGAATTGTTGTACGAGCCCTGGTTCTGGAACGTCGAGCTCGTCTGTGCCACGCCGGTTCCGCCGGCGTGGTGTTCTTCCCAAGTTCTCACCTGCCAAAGGCGCCAGTGCAAAAACCAAGAAAGAAAAAGGGTTGTCCTCATACACAAACTCCTCGAGCTTGCAGTCGGCGTATTTAAACGCAGCGAATGCTCGCCCAATTAAGCCACTCGGACCCTGCCAGCCTTTCCACGAAGGGGCAGCTTAGGCAATGACCTCCTAAAGGGTGCAGTCAAGGCCAGTGAGGATGTAAGCGGATAAGTTTGTCGAAGCGGGCAATCTATCGATCGCCACGCGTGGGTATCAGCGAGGAGGGCAGGGATCCCTGGGGAAAACTACCTGCAGCTCCTAGCCAAACGCCTAGTAGCCTAGGTTTTAGGGTTTAGGGTTTATATCCTGTGTATAAGGACCCCAATAAGGTGCCCCGAATAGCGTAAACCCCCATGTTGTTGGTCGCCCGGAGGCCTGCGCAGGCCTCCTTGAGCCCATTAATTTCTCCAGGCCCTCCCCCGCAGTGAGGGGTGGGGGGGGGGGGGCACACCCCTTTTGCAAGGATGTAAAGGGGAGTGCGTGCGATTTGCCCTCGAAGGTTTGGGGTGCCTTCTGATTCCGACGCGAGCCACAGGGCTTTTGTGGCTCGCAGCTGCTTCCTCGCCTGCTGGCTTCGGTGCTCCGTGCCCTCGCCCTATTCGACAACCCCCAGCTCGCTCAGGTCTAGGCTGTTGGCCAAACCCTAAACCCTAAACCCTAAACCCTAGACCCCAGACCCTTGGATAGGGGGGTTGGGGGCTTAGGCGGTTTGCGGGGTTGAGGAGGTTTAGGGGGCTCTGCAACAGGGTAACCAAACCTAAGGGTGGAACCTTGGGTATCCAAGGAAGAATCCCTTCTGATAGCCAAGCCAGATCCTAGCAAAGCTGTGATGTTCCAAACCCCAAACGCTAAACCCTAAGCCCTTAAGAGCAGTACCTCAAATCCCAGCTCCTAGACTCCCAAACCCTGAAACCAGAAACGCCAAGAGACTAATTCCTAAACCCTAGAAACAAATTTAAAAAAAAAGAGCTGAAGCC